TATATATATATAGTAGGTTTTGTTTCTATTCTGTATTTGACAACCTGAGGTACAAACGATATACTAACATTCTAGCATATCAACGTAGTATATATTTGAAATCAGAAAGTCAGTAACCAGATCGAGATGCTCAAATGGCTGCAGTTGAAACGAAATACGCGCGAAAGAAGAGAAAAAGAAGGAAAACACGCAGAGGGCCGTCGATGACCTCAGCTGTTTGTCGGCCCATAAACTTCCCTCTTTATTATTAATGGAGAAATATCTTACGAGAGTGTAATGTGTGTAGAAAATAAAATAATAACCGAAGAAGACATGAAAAGGATAAATATATGAAGTTACAATTTATTATAAGAAAAACAAACGAAGCAACAGAGGAGATATATGATGAAAAATATTTACTAGGAAAGGTAAAGAGTAAAAATTAAATGTACAAATATAAAACTTAAAAACAGACATGCTTGATAAACTGTGTTATTTTAACTGTCGCAGGATCGTGAAATATGTACATGTGTAATATGTTTGACAAAAGAGGGATGTTAAATTTACCACCAGATGAAAATACGAGCGGGTCGAATATAAGTATGCAATTTAGTTGTTCTACCCGAACAACCAGTATATATAATAGACAAACAACCGTACAATCTACATGTTAGGTAAACTCGAATAAGAATTTAATTAAAAAAAGAGTATTTAATAGAAAACTAATAAATAATGATTGTGAAAATTGCTGTGCAAGATATCAGAGAATAAAATAAAAATGATCCAAATACATTATCAAACTAAGAAAAATATAAATAATATAATAAACAAACGCATTGTAAATTAAATAAAGTAATAAACTAAAAATGTAGAAAGAAGCGTGCAGAACAAATAAAGAAAGGATTATAGGCAAATAAAAAAATGAATTGATGCCAAGCAGGAATAGAAGCAGGTCAAATGTAAAAAATATTTATTTATCAATAAAATATACTCTACAAATATAAACAGTCCGATAACTAGTTCAAGGGTTGAGAGATAAACTGAAAACAAAGGAAACAATAGCTTATATAGAATACCGAATCATCTTTCATTCCGTAGAGCTCTGAACGCCATGTCCTGATTTATTTACACAGTTTTTGTTAGATGTTTTTATTATTTATGCATTGGACTTATTTTTTTCATGTTAAATAAACTGGAGGTGCTTTATTGAATATCCTGTCGGTTCATTTGTCCAAAGTTGGGATAATTATTTTTCGGATTGCCTTCAATTCGTGAAATATAATTTTTCTTTGACATTATATTAAGCATTTTATATATATATATATATTGATATATATATCTTATATATTTATTGATATATATATCTTATATATTTATATACCCCATTTGTTTGCGGTTTGAGATATAAAAAAAAGCATGAATTGAGACTCCTCTTCATTATTCATGTAGTTTGTTCCTATAATTTTCTTTCGACCTCCATTTGACATAATTCGAATTCAAATTTTTAATTTTAAATGAGAATCTCCATTTTTACATTTTTTAAACTATATTTTTTTGCGAGAAAAGTGAGGACTGAGTTTTTAAAATCGGCCCAATAGAACCGGAGATATGATTTTTTGAAACTAGCCGGAATTTTGTTCTATGCGTTAGGTCGAAACCACTTTATTTTGCCTTCTACTGCAAATATTTTGAGAGTGGAAAATCAGCCAAAGTAGAGAGAAAAGTCTGAAAGCTTACTAAATTTCCTGACAAATCCCATAAATTTAGTATTTTTAGCGTTTTTTCTCTTCGACCAATACCTGTTCTTACCCAAGACTCATTCACTAAAATACCTTGGTTGCAGTTCAAATCCCAGCTCTTTTTTCAACCGGATTTGGTACCCGCCACAGCGGAGTTAACAATTAATCATAACTATTGCTATCTGGGGATTAAAAGGTTAAATAGTTTAAATCAAAGGGATGTAGGAACTAACGCTGTTTTATTTTTCGTTTCCAGACTCTTGTTGGGACAAGTCCTTTCTTATCTGGGTTAAAAATTTACTAAAAACTCAAATTTCAATTTCTTATAAAAAAAAAAAAAAAACCTCATGAAAACATTACAGTTCGAAATATCCACCCTGTTGAAATATGCATGCCTCCGCACACCTC